AAGTGGCTCGCGTCGATACTTAGAGGAGTGCCTCGACCTCCCGACTACGTTTCACACACTTCAGCGAATTCCCTTATGCATATGGATTCCCCAACGATCCACATGATAGAGTGCACGGCATGTAACAAGTCTATAATCAACGATGGCAGGCACATGTCGTGTTCGGATTGCAAGTCCAATTACCATCTGGGACAATCTTGCTCCGGGATTGCTGATAAGACCTTCATCACCATGGGACAAACGAAACGAGAAAAATGGAAGTGCCGTGCGTGTCGTGGGAAGGATGGTCAGGTGGGAGCATCTGAGCCGAAGTTGTCAAGCTCGTCTGAAGGAATAGGACTGCTCTCTTCACAACTAACAGCTGTGAATGAGAAACTGGAAGGATTACTGTCATTGAAGGGCAGCATCGATTCCCTTATGACACTGTCTGCCAAACTAAACGAACTTTTAGCCCTCAAGCCCATTGTCGAGAGTCTAAAGGAGACTGTGAACGGCCTACAACACTCAATGGATTTCTTTTCGGCCGACTATGACCGCCTCCTCAAGTTGGCGACCACCAACGAACAGAATGGCAAAGCCCTGCAAACGGAGCTTTCTCATTTAAAGTCAACCGTGGAGGCGCAGGCATCCGAGATCCAAGAGATGCGGGTCGCCCTAAACGACAACGAGCAGCACAGCCGTCTGCCAAACCTGGAAGTGCACGGACTTCCTGTCTCACCTCACGAAGATCTTATGTCATTTGCTGAGGCTCTATCGAAAAAACTGAAGATCTCAAACTTACAGAAATCCGACATTCTTGCTCTTCACCGCTTGCCAGCCAAATATGCAAAAAACCCACCGATTCTGATCAAATTCGCGTCTGTCCACATGAAGGAATCCTGGATGGCAGCGCGGGGTACGTTTCGTTCGCTGGGTCAGGATAGTTCTCTTCCCAGACTGTACTTAAATGACAACCTGACCCACGCGAACAAAGAGCTGTTTTGGCGGGCAAGACAGAAAGGCAAGGAACAGGGTTATAAGTTCGTCTGGGTAACCAGAGCTAAAATCTACGCAAAGAAGGCGGTGGGTTCTCCACCTGTGAGAATTAACAGTTCGCTAGACCTTGAAAAGATTCTTTAGATGTATGGCAGATTTCGCTCAGGTTTCAAACTTTTCATCTCTTCGAAATTTTTTTGGAAATTGTGAGGAAACGTTTTTTTCTGTAGTACACGTTAATATTCGGAGCATACGTAAACATTGGGCAGAATTCGAAGTTACCTCAAGAGCAATTGCTTCTTCAGTAGATGTATTTGTCTTAACAGAAATTAACATCCCCTCTTTTGCAACAGATCAGTTCTTTTTACCGGGTTATCGTGGTACTTTTTCCACTCGAGATATGGGTCATGGTGGTGGTATCGCAGTTTTCGTGAGTGATAAATGGTCATTTTCAAATATTTCGTTGACGTTCGCTCAGGCCGAGTTCATTGCCCTTTCTGTGGAGAATTCGATCAATTCCATATGTTTGCTCGCAATGTATAGACCACCGTCCACAAATATAGGGTCTTTTCTCGTAGAATTCGAAGAAAACATTAGTGATCTGAGTTCGTATGGTCAATTATGCATTATAGGAGACTTTAATATTGATATCTTGAATGGGTCTAAATCTAATGTATGCAATTACCTCAACACTTTGGCAACTCACGGTATTGAGTCCGTTATTAATTGTCCAACACGTGAAGAGTTCCTTTTAGGGAGACTTGTCTCCTCATGCATTGACCACATTAACTATAAGAACATCTTCGACTATCGTGAGATCAGCAGTTATTAAGGAAAAACTTGCCGACCACTACTTTGTGGCCTGCCGCTGGTCGATCGGCGTTCTTAAATCGCGCGAAACATCAGGCCGCATTAATGTTACAGGTATCGACACAACGGCCTTTGATAAATTGGTCTCAGCTTTTGATTGGAACCACTTTTTGAGGACCGTTAACTACACCGACGTTTATCCAAAGTTTGTGCTGGTTTTCAAACAGTTCTATGAAAGATGCCGGAGAGAAATATTCGTAAAGAAACGCAACCCTGATCTTGTATGGCTGAATGCGAATATTTTAGATGCGACAAGGGAAAAAAATGCACTATGGGCTCGCTGCCGTCGTTCACCCAATGATGCACACCTACGAATACTCTTTAAATCCTGCCGTAACAAAGTAAACGCGATGATTCGATCAGCTAAGCGCATTTCTTATCACAAAATTCTCCCAATCTCATTCGGATGCCCGTAAAACTTGGTCTTTGATAAATGAACTCCGTGGACACCAAAGACACTCCATTGATGATACGCTGGAACGACATTTTGGAGATAATTTGCAATCGATTGTAGAGGTTTTTAACGTTTTTTTTACTACTTTTTCTGGTCAGGCGAGAGATAGCCTAAATGCATTTGATAACCTAGTCTCTTCTTCAGCGTTCCTTCCGCCTTTTCAGGAAGCTGATCTATATTCCATTTTGTCTAGTTTCAAGAACAACAAGTCCCCTGGGATAGACGGAATTCGCTTATCTGACCTCCGCAGAAATATTGACGTTCTGAAAGACGTACTTTTATTTATGCTAAATGGTTTTATTGAAACCAAGATACTTCCTGATGAACTTAAAACATCTATATAGTACGTCCTTTGTATAAAGGTGGTACCAGAAGCAATATTGCAAACTATCGTCCGATTTCTCTCTTGCCCATCATCGCTCAGATCCTCGAAAAGCATGTGTTTAATATAATGACATCTTTTTTAGAAAAATTTAATATATTATTTCAAACTCAATTTGGTTTTGTGCAAGGAAAAGGCACTCAGCCTCTTCTAGAAGATTTCGCAGATACCCTATACTCAGCATTCGATCACAATCTTGTTACCTCCGCACTATTCTTAGATGTGTCCAAAGCTTTCGACACAGTGAGCCATACGATACTGTTGAAAAACTGTACAGCATAGGTTTTCGTGGTTCATTTTTTTCCCTTCTTAAAAACTATCTTTCTCATCGCTCTCAACTGGTGTGTGCATCTGTATTTCAGAGTTCTCGAACTGAACTAAAAGCCGGAGTACCACAGGGGTCTATTCTATCACCTCTTTTGTTTAACATCTTTGTCAATGACATCGCCACCATGGTACCGGGATGTAAGCTATATCAATACGCGGACGACACTGTAATTATGAACCAACACATCAACTATGCCAATTCCATCAGCCAGTTACAATCTCAAGCAATAGCAATTATGGACTGGTTCAAAAAAAAAAAAAAACCTTCTTGATATTAATGTTAAAAAGACAAAATTAGTATGCTTCTATAATCCACTCAAAACAGTCACTCTCAACATTCCATTAGTTCTGCACTCTTCTTTCTGCCATCAATGCAACTGCATTCCGGTTGAGTATACAGATAGCGTGAAGTATCTAGGCATATATTTTGATAGTGGTCTGAAATGGAATGTTCATTTTACATACATCTGTAAAAAACTGAGAAGCATTAGTTGCCTATTATATAATACAAAACATTTTTTTCCTGTATCTGTTCGAAGAATGATTGCCCATTCGCTTGCATATAGCGTCCTTCGCTACTCGATCACCGTTTTCGGCCATTCTTCTGACTATTGGAAAACCAAGGTGGACTGCATCCTGAAAGCTATCCTGAAAAGTATCTTTTATAAACTTAAAATACCTGACAACGCTAATCTTTTTGAATATTTGCAACTACCCAACTTCCAAACCCTTTATGTTCATTCAGTGGTATTGCGGCACTTTTGGAATTCTGATTTCAAAATCTTAAGCCCACCCACACGTGATCTTCGACATACTCACCCTTTTCACATACCTTTTTCCCGCACTCGTTATGGCAAAAGTACGCGTGCGTTTTATGTGCCATATATTTTTTCTCACTTACCACCTGAACTTCTAAACCAAACACCCCTGGGCAAAGTTAAAAAGATGCTTAGAGGTATTTCGTTTTAATAGCGAACTATTGGTTTCGTTTTAGTTGCGAACTATCACAGACTCATTTTGCTAAGTAATGTGTGCCAATATTAAGCGCCTGCCTTTCTGGAACATTAATGAATATTCTGCTGTTTGTAGGACATTTTAACAGAAGACCTTCCGTGATTTTTTTTTTTTTTTTTTTGTGCATATTTTCCAGTTTTGTGGTATTTCATTTTCCTTTGACATTGCTATTGATTTCCGTTTTAGTCTGTACATAATATCTCTTCGCGTAAAATCTTCAAGTTATAACTAGAGTGACTAACTTCATGGAATTGTGTTTACATCTTTTTTTTTTGTCTGTTTTATATTATTGTATTTTCAGTAACTACCCATGCTACATATCGTTTTTTTTTTATTGGAGGATGGCGTCGCACAAGCCACGTGTTGGCTTTGATGCATCCGCAATACCAAACTTTTCTATGATGGTAGCAATAAACAATTATTATTATTATTATTATAAATAGGGACAACTGAGTTCTTTATCACAAAAAAAAAAAATCCTTCAATGCACTTACAATGCCGATGCGTAAATTCCTGATATACGGTAGTTCAGTTATTAAAACCGAGCAGGTACACCTCACGGACACATGCACACTTTCAGTAAGCACGTTTAGCGAAAACCACGAACTCGCAAGCAGCACCTGCGCATGCCATCGTTGAAAAATCCTGAGCACAGTCACGGTGTCGTCCCTGATGCCGTCGCGGCGGCGTCTTCGACGTCTTTTTCGCTCGCTGGATGCTTCTGAAGCTGGAAAGGTTGATGGATTGATTTACTGATGATTAGCTCCATCTCTATTGTCACTCTCAGTAGCAGTGCATTTATGATTATCAAATGTATAACGTCTGTGTACGTATCTTTGTGCATTTAATTGTACCCCCTCCTACAATAACCCGAAATGGTTGGCAGTATTTGAAATAAAAAGGAAAAAAAAAGGTGTATGGTGAGATTATAATCTCAGTACTCTTTCTCTCCCCCCTCTCTGTCCAATGGCCAGGAGCGTCGGCGAGCGACCTTGGAAGCGCACGGGGCCCTCTGGTCGACGTCCAGGATGCACCGGCCGGTGTCTGCGCAGACCCGAAACGAGAACGTGATGAAGCTGGCTGCGGGTCGGCAGCTCCACACCACCGAGGATCCCGTGGAGAAGCTGAGGCTGCTCTGCCTGCAGCGGGGCTCCGCAGGCATCCTGGGCCTCGGCAGGTGAGGGACACGGCAAGACGACAAAGGGGAGCCAGAGTTACTCCTTTGCAGCACCCCCTAGACTCGCTCTGTTTTACGGAGTCCCCTTAATCTGGGAAAGGAGTAACATCACACTCAGAATTTGTTTACACCCATACTGGTGTCTTTTGTTTGGTTTGTCCCAGGCGTAGCACCCGCACGTGTATGTTTCACGCCTGCAGACAGTTTGTGTGACCAATGTCACACATTGGTCGCACATTGAGGGTGATCTAGCAGCAGCTTGGTTTCCGCCTATGCCACAAAAGAAAAGTGTTCGTTTGGTGCAACAGCGCTGCATGGGTGTAGCGATGGATTAGTCGACGTAGCGCCCTTTTCACACCCAAAAGGGTGTAGACATTTTTAGAGTGTTGACTCTTTTTTCTTGAAAGGTCATGACAGGTCAGAGTGAACACGAGTTAATTTCGAAGTGAAGCGGCTTTTTACAGAGTGTAATAGACAACCGACGCAGCAAAGAGAGTAAATGCGAATATTTTCCACGCTTTCTTGTTTCCTGTCTTTGCTCTGAACGGCTCAGGGTCTTCCGGCGCATGGACGACAACGGGAGCGGCGACTTGTCGCGCGAGGAGTTCGTCAAGGGCCTCGACGACTCTGGAATGTCGCCCTTCCTGGAAGGAGAGGACTACGACAAGCTCTTCGACCGCTTCGACGCTGACGGCTCGGGGACCATCAAGTTCGACGAATTCATGCGTGCCATCAGGGTAACGAATACCGTTTCCGAAAAACAATGGTCCCGAATCATTTGACTATGTTCGCGGTGGTATGTCTTGTGTTCCAAGTAAGTTGACCATGTTAAACAAGTCGCGAAGTCTGTTCCCTTCCGGCTTTGAATGTTCTTGAGGTAAAATTAAAAGTAATAAAAGCCCTGTTTGAACATAAAAAAATTACGTTATGTAAACTTACAACTTTTGCAACAAAAATCTAGCGCCTATCTTATTGTCTAAATATCAACCACGTGCGGGTCACACCACAGGGACAGCAAGCTTTTGCTCGAAATTACACCAAAATATTATTTAAGAGAAATAAACCAAATGTCGCTACGTCACTCTAAACTTATAATCGGCGCCGCTCGGCGGAAGTACGGCGGCAAGGTGCGTGCGCGCGATCCCAGTCGAACCGGAGTTTCGGAGAGCGGGGAAGGGCAACTAAAAAAGGTCAGGTTGAAACGCGTGGACGATCCCAAGTGGCGGAGCTCATAACCACGCCAGCCTCCAAGCAGCTTTGCCTGTGCTGGGCCAGTTGACGTCACGTCTCCCATGGTGCATCGCGCTCTCCGATGGCTGATCTTCGAGCACTCGCATAAAATCGCAGGCCTCATTTAAGTGGTATTGATTGGGCCCCATTGAGTCGATGTAATCTAGCCTTTCTGAGACTGAAGACATAAAGATATAATTTCCTACTAGCTTAGGCCACCAAACGGCGCCCCCACCCCTCTTGTAAGTAATTTTCTGGGGGCGACTCCACTCCGCGGTGTACAATCCGATTGGCTCAGCTGCTGAAGCTGAACCTATCGGACACGGCAACCCTGTGGATCGTTTGGTGTACTCTGCATAATCCGGCCCTGCGCATATAATTAATCTACTTCGTAACGCACTATTCCTTTGTTACTGTGGACACCTGAATTTGACGAAGCACGGTAAGGAAGTGGACGAGGACACCACATGTTTAAGCTGTGTCTTCGTTCACTCCTCTACTTTCGTGTTTCAATCGAACTATCAATCAGTTATTTGTTTTAAGGCGAAAATAAGGAACTCTCCTTGGAAGGCCCAAAGGCACCCGGCGAAACAAATCAAATCAAATTTAGCTGTCTGCACAAACAAGTATGAACCATCCAGGGGCCCCAAATTCGTCAAACATAAAGTTGGGGCCGTAGTATCCGGAGCGCGTCGATTGAACTCCAAGGACGACAACGACGAGTTTTTGTCGCCGAGGTCCAATCAGCGCGCTCCGAAAGGTATCGACTTGTCCCATGGCTGAACAATAGCCCGAAATAACCTTCCCGCAGCCTCGGATGACGCCGTCGAGGCTGGCCCTGGTGGAGAAGGCCTTCGCCAAGCTGGACCGGTCGGGCGACGGCCAGGTGACCTACGAGGACATGCAGGGCGTGTACAGCGTGCGCAACCATCCGGACTACCTGAACGGGGAGAAGACCGAGAAGGAGCTCCTCACCAAGTTCCTGGCCAGCTTCGAGCAGGGCGGGGTCGTCGACGGAGCCGTGAGTATAGACGCGCTAACACGATGGATTACAAACGCACAAGCGTCGAGAGAAGCGTCTACTCGTATTCCCAGTGTCAACAACAGCGCCACCGCAGTGGAATGACGCTGAAGAGTTGAGTTGGTGTATACACGGCTTGCAGATGATGTCATCGCTCAATGCTAATGACCACCTCTCTTGCAAAAAAAAAACAAAAAAAACTCTGCGTTTTGCAAAATTAGCTTAGCGAATGATGAGGCGGAACATCCGTTTATACCTAAAAATGAAGCCTGCGCTGTGGCATTACGGAATGCAACGCGTCATGCTTGCATTGCGTAATGCCACAGTGCGGACTTCATTTTGAGGTCTAGACAGATGTTCCGCCTCTTCATTCGCTGAGCTGATCTCGCAGATCGCAGAGATTGGCTCTTTGATTGTCTTGCGGGTAAGTAGACGCGCAGGCATTTCTGCGCGTCTTTTTGTGTTTACGCAATACATTGACTCCCACCTGAAACGGAGCGCAAATCACTTCCTCTGCGGCCACCAGCCGCCTAGAGAGGGCGCCATAAGTTGCATTGTTATTTCAGGTGAAAGTATACGTGGAAGCCAGTTTATTCTTGCGATTTCCATACCCTTTTTCCCTCTTCAGCCTCTCTCTTTCTCTATCTTCTGCATGCCGTCATTATTTAGCAACGATACCAACCAATCACGGCGTCACGTGCGTCCATGGGACGAAATGATTGGCCGGTGCCCCTTTTTCTCTCTCTGTTTTGGCTCTGCCTTCCTCAACTGCACGACGCCATATCTGAGCAAGAGGCGCAGGCGAGCACGAAAAGTTTGAACATTAAGTCGCGTTATTTTTTTCTGCATAGGCGAGACTAGTAAAAAAAAAAAAAAATTAGTAGTTTTCTTTGGTTTATTAGTGCTCGCAGTGAGCAGAAATTTATGGTGCCTACATCACTTCACCTCGGCTCTGTTTCTCCCTCGATCGTGTGGCGACAAATAATCCGTTTGGTCTCGCTTGCCGAACGTTAAACAAAGGAAAAATGAAAGACGTTTACAATTCTCTGTAGTGCCGAATTAGAGCGCAGCTCTTGAGGAGGAGGAGGAGAGGGTATGCCCCTCCCCCTCCGTACCCTCCCCTCCTCCTGGCCTGCTACCCTCCCATTAAGCGGGGAATTTTTGTCAAATTTCTCGCTAAATATAGCGGAATAAATTCCCCGCTAAATTTATTTGGGAAATTTTTTTTTTCTTTCGCTAAATGTAGGCGCCGTGTGACGTCACGAGGGTGACGTCATTACGGGGAACGTCCCATAATGCAACGCGCGGTTACGCCGACGGCGACGCCGCTCAAGTCGCGAAGACGGGCGCATAAGGGCTGCTCTCTAAAAATTCCGGAAACCTCAAAAATAGCAAAACAAGTAGAATAAAAACTGCAGCCAATGGTCATCTTGTAACCTACAACGTCACGCGCGGGACGCGATATGCTGTAATGAGCGTGGAATCGTACGCGGAAAAGAGCCATACATGTGTTCATCGCTATCAGCTTCCGTTTCACATTGAGATGAAAGTTACGCCTAGAGTATTTACACTCCATTCGCTCGTGGATTCCGCCGCCATTTTGGTGCACATATGTATCTATTAGTAATTTTCATTAGGTCAGAGAGCCCTTCATTTCTAAATCAATTTCTTCGTTATTTTTAATAATTTGCAAGGAATCGCAAACCTATACGGGTTTGTGATGTTAGGGTAGGTAATGTTAGTTATGTAGGGTGTTTTAAAAAATAGGTCCCCAAAGAAGGCCCCAGGCCTTCTGTGGTAAACTCTACATAGTTAAATAAGAAAAAAAATACAAGTGCAAATACAATTTGGAAATGCGCCTTCCCGAGCTTCAGATACGGTGTCCGGAAGCCCGGGAGGTAATGTTCTTTTTCTGCGTTTTAGACGGTTTAAAAATTTGAAAAAAAAAATGGATGAGATTTTAAATAACTGGCAACAATGATTTTAAGCTCCAAGATGGCTGACGTGTCGTTACTCCGAAGCTTAGCTTACTTAGTTGCTCTAATAATAACAGCAGCGGTGACCTCTTTGTTCGTTGCAGGTGACCAAGGACGAGTTCATCGACTACTACGCGGGGGTGAGCGCCTCCATCGACGAGGACGCCTACTTCGACCTCATGATGAGGACCTGCTGGAAGCTCTAGCCGTCCCTGCTGCACCACCATCGATGTCTGCAACCGATCGAACTACGCGAACTTCCCAACGGCCGCCCCCCTCACTCCCTCTCCCTAAGGGGGGGACGTCCTGTACCCTATCAACGAATCAACAACGACGCGCGATTTAACCGAGCCAATAAATGTTCCTGGTCTACAGTCGGCACTGCTCAGCAAACCGATGCGCCACAGCGCTCGCCGAACATGTCAGAACGCGGAACGCCTACGCACGGCGTTGACGAATGCGGTGGAGACAAAAAAATTATAGAGGCGTTTTTTTAGCAAAAAAGTGAAAGCCGTTTACAACTCCTTGTAACACCGAATTAGAGCGCAGCTCTTGAGGAGGAGGAGGGAAGGGTACTGGGGGGTTAAGTGACCTTGGGGGGTCACGTGACGATGCCGATGATGTCATCAGTGACGTCACTGATGACGTCATCCATGATGATGCGGATGCCGGTGACGTCATCAGTGACGTCACTGATGACGTCATCAGTGACGATGCCGATGCGGATGCCGGTGAGATCATCAGTGACGTCACTGATGACGTCATCAGTGACGATGACGATGCGGACTCTGATGACATGATCAGCAATGATGACGATGTCGGTGACGTCATCAGTGACGTCACTGATGACGTAATCCGTGATGATGACGATGCGGATGCCGGTGACGTCATCAGTGACGTAACTGATGACGTCATCAGTGATGATGACGATGCGGATGCCGGTGAGGTCATCAGTGACGTCACTGATGACGTCATCAGTGATGATGATGACGACGATGTGGATGCCGGTGACGTCATCAGTGACGATGACGTCATCGGGGAGGTCACATGACCTCGGCGGGGGTCACGTGACCCTGGGGGTGGTCACGGGACCTCGGGGGGTCACGTGACCTTGGGGGCCACGTGACCTTGGGATGACCTTGGGGCTACGTGGCCTTGGGATGACCTTGGGGGTCGCGTGACCTTGGGGTGACCTTGGTTACGCTGGTGCCGACGCCAACGGCGACCCCGACGCCGCTCAAGCCGGGAACGGGCCTCTAAAAGCTGCGCTCTAAAAAGACAGCTAGCTTTAGGTCCACCCAAAGCCGTATATGTTGAGAGCTTGGCCATTCACTGGGAAGTGTAGGAGACAAATGAGGAGGCACCAATGGCCGAAAGCGGACTGGGCGTGTTCCAGGGCGTCTTCACAAATTCGAATGAGGCCAACGAGAAGCCGGAAATAATACCCTGGGCCCGTTTGCTCGAAGCTGGTTAACTAACCGCGGTAAACCGGATTTCCCTACGAGGGGGAATTTCGCGTCACGTGACCGGCAGAGTGAGTACGGCGGGGAAACATGGCGGTGCCCCGGTGAGTGAGCGCCGCTCGCTTTGGAACTAATACGTCGTAGTAGCTGCAGTAGCGGGCGTGTGAGTCAGCAATGAATGGTGCAGGAGGTTTTCGCGTTGCTTTACCTCACTTAAAACGCAAAACGTGAGCAATGACCTCGCCGCATTTTTTAGATAGACTTTCGACTCTGGCCATTCCTAAGCCTAAATGAACGCGATAGTTGTCGGCATGGCAACGTCTTTGGAAAGTGGATTGCCTTGACCCCATCGGTCGGGTATTGATAGCACACAAAAGCAGACAGCGTTCCCATAGACCTTTTTCTAAATTTAAGAAGCACCGAGGTGCATGCTACGAGTGTAGTTACACGCGCTGCACCTGCTAGCGTCTGCAGTAATAACTGTTTTGAAGCAAAACGCCTAAAACAAATTTTGCCATGCGCGCGCGTTCGTCAAAGATTTATTATGATTGTTTACTTCAAATCTTTTATAAGTGGAAGGCCAGCGCGCGCGGATCGTAGAATTGCACTTCCAGCGCTCTTCTCGATGTTCGGGTAATTTACTACTAGGTCAATTTTCAGTGGAGCCGAGTTACAGGTTTTTCAATTTATGACGGTGTTATTACGGTTCCTACATGCTGGCCAACCTAGGGCGCCTACATGTTTCCGCGAGCGGCGGAGACATGTAGGCACCCTAGGCCAACCATGCTGCCGGTGTACCGCACGCCTTTCACTGCTCACTTCTTTCTCATTGTTTCTAGGACTCAACTTCGTCGTCCTCTTTCGAACTTGCAAGGAAATTTTAACGAGGCTTTTCTTCACTTCATGCAGCCAAATATTTAGAAAATTTCCAAACAAGGGTTAATTTAGTTTTACCTTGCCAATTATTTGTACCACGAGCAATAAAAATTGTTTCTGAAGCTCAAATGTATGCCGGGCTGCGTCGCGAAAACCAGGCAGCGCGCATTTTTTGGGTCCCCCTATTTCGGGAACCTTTCCACGGAAGCCACGTATATTCGCTACAGCCAGTACACCAGCTACCACCCCATAATAAAACACGGAGCTATCGCTCATCCAGCCCTCGTCAAACTTTCTAGGTACTTGTAGGTACCTAGTAGGGAAGGGCTTAACCGCGGTTAAAGTTAACCGGCTTCGAGCAAACGGGCCCTGGTGGTGGTCGCGAGAAAGGAAATTAATAAGCGCGTCGGAGTAACTCTCGGTGACTGAAAATACGGTGCGCGTGATGTTCCAATCAGGGTCATATCCTAAATAATGGTGGAAGAGTGCGACTAGCGGAACGATCGACATAATTCGTACGGCAGACGCCGAGGGCCAGGAATCTGCCGTCTGAGCGGTCACACCCTGTCCGAGCAAAACAGAGTTCGCGCGGCACATTCGTTTCTTACATCTTTCTGCACGATCGTAATATAGTAACCATTAACTCTTACGCGCTTGATAAAACCGTATACCTATGATTAAAACAGTTTCTCGCTACCACCACCAGAGGATTCTTTTCGGTTTCTGGTTGGCAGGGAGAGCATGTGAAGCCCTCCTCCTGCGTCTGGTGCACTCCCTGGATGTACCCGCGCCTACCATTGACTAAACTCTCTGTATACACTCCGTGCGGGAACTATAGGGGGCGCTTTGAAAAACGCGCGCAGCGCCGCTAGCGGAGGAGCTGGCGTTCGACAGTGAGGCGCGCTCAGCAGCCTGCGGCACCTTTTCGCATGCCAAGCTGCGGCGGCGGAAGCGCGCACGGACGAAACTTTTGCTTTTTGAGCCGATACGTTGATGATGGCGTTGCATGAGTGCTGGGGCAGACCTAAAAAGGGCATCTAGCTGTTCTTCACTTCTTATATATTGAGTTTGGGTCGTTCTTAGGGGTAATTTCTCTAGTTGCGGCCGAAAAAGGAGTTGGAGCAATTTTCCGAAAAGCAAGACGGCCGCCACCATAATTGCTCTGGGTGGAAAATTTATTTCGCTCGTCGCTGTAAGCGTAGAACTGCTGAAACGATGATATTGGAGGCGGGTGAGATGTTCACCAAGTTCGTGTACGAAGTGTGCCAAGTTTCATTAAGACAGCTGGTGTGAAAGTTAGGTTTCTAACGAATAAAGAAATAAAGCTGTACGGGATATTCAATATTGGACCCAAATTGTTGTGTAATAGCGGGCTGTGCAAAGTGCAGATTTGGGCACGCAGGTGCTTGAACTTGACAGTAACATGACACAGTACTTATTGCACAAAAAAAGGGGGCATAGGGAAACCAGGTGAACATTCGGTTTGGTCGGCGTAACTCAATGGGAACCGGTTTTGACCATGAAAAGGCTGTCAAGAGAATACCACTGGTCGTGGGAGGTGGAGACTTTAGAGGTAGGAAGGGACTAGTAGACTGTATTTCCAATTGAAACCACTTTACGAAAGGTGGTTGCAAAGCCAAGAAAACAATGTTGTCGGCCAACACACGGTTTGGCCGTCAAGGGATTTTACGGTCTGCTGTTGTGTAATAACCTGCTGTGCGAGGTGCTGATTTTCGGCGCACAGGTACTTTGACATGACCGTAACTTGACACAACACTTATTATACCAAAAAGAGTTGGCATAGCGAAACCAGGTGGAAATTTAGTTTGGGTGGCGTAACTAAATGGGAACTGGCTTTGATCGTCAAAGGCTGTCAAGATAATACCACTCATCGTGGGAGGTGCACACTTTACAGGTGGGAAGGGACCAGCGGACGGTACTTCCAGTTCGAACCACTTTGCAATAGGTGGCTCTAAAGCCGAGAAAAAAAAAAATGTTGTCGACAGAACTTGGGGTGTCAGCGTTTCCACATCCAAAAGGAGGCTGATCAAGAAAGAAAGCTCACCACATAAACTTCCATACTCAAACATCGATTCTTTAGTGATTTCGAGTTTCATTGTTGTGTTCTTTAGATTTATATTTGTCACTTTTTTTACCGATCGAATCTTTCTTCATGAAGTAGAGATTGCGTGCCATACTTGTCTGAAAATATCGACACGTACAATGGGGACGAAACTTCTTTGGAGGGCATTCCTCCAACGAAATCGGCACTGCATAACCGCGAGTGTGTGATGGCATTTCAGTTCGTCCCATCGGCGCTGACAGATGTAGGCGTTACTGGTACGAAAACAAACGCAGAGCGCAAAGCGGCAGTGTAGAATATGTCAGCCGTGCCGACACAGTGGCAGACATGATCGGGAGACCAAATTTCTCGCGTCGGCTCCATCGTTGTCGCTGTCCCACAAAACATCAGCGAGGTGAAAAACTGTGAAACTTTGTCCGCACGAGATACGAGGCATAACTATTGAAGCACTTAATGGCGCAGCACGCACAGGCAGCACTTTATGCTGTGAACCCAGCGCAACCGCACCGCTCCGACTTCAATGCGTACCACTGATCTCAATGACAATTGGTTTCGGTCTCGTTTTCTCTGGGGTTCTCACAGCCTACTTTCAGTACCGGCCACGCGGCGGCGCGCCAGTCGCGTCGCACGCAGAGGTAGCACGTAAAGCCCCTTGATAAAAGTGTTTTCACAAGTACCGCCAACCATTGTTGTGGAAATGCGCAAGGCACGTGCCACGAGCGGGTGCTCCGCCGCCATTCGCTTCCAAGGGCCGCTCGAGACCTGGGCCACGTGCGCTCGGGCATTTGGCGCTACTTGCAAAGGCAAACGAAAACTTATCGAGGGGCTTTAGTCGCACGGAGTGTATAGCGAGACTAACATGAGTAAACATTTCGATAGAAGCAGCAAGCAACCACTGATCTCAATGGAAACAGCCATTGAGTAAATGGCGAATAGTAGGAATTGAATGCA